TTGACTTTTATTAGACGAGCGGGACCCAATAACGACTATATTTTCAATTTTAATCTGATTTTAATTATTCCCAAACAAGCTCTTATTTTTTATTGTTGAGAAATAAATCACATACTTCATGATTATTCAATAAAAAGAAAGCAATTACATGCCAATTTGTAATAATAACTAATGATTAATGCAACAGCTGAAATCATATACATGATTTCCACCTTGATTTTGATATTGTTGAGGTTTTTTTTTATTCTAGTACATGAAATTTCGTATTTAAATTAATAATTTTGCACTTGTTTGACCCCATTCTAATGAGTTTTTGGGGATAATATATTTTTGAATAGTGATTTTTTTTGAAAAATGTTTGGTTTAAAAAAAAAGGAAAAGTTTTGGGTTTATGTGTAATATTATTTTATTGAAAAATGCGTCGTTGATAAGAAGAGAAAAAAAATTATAATTTTAATAAGGATCAAACAGGGGTTAAAATTCAGATTTATATGAATTGGATTGAGTTCATATATATAAATAATCAACTTTGGATCAATTCAAGTGACGTGTGCAGTGCTTTTGTGAAAATATAAATATCCGTCGCTTTTTTTTAAAAAAATGATCGCAAGTTTGAATTAATTAAAGAGATGCATACATATGTGTTAATCAAGATTTAAATATGAATATGAATTCAAACATTGCTTTAAATTAAAAAGTGAAATAATGTAACACTTTAAATTAATATAAAATTTTGTTTTAATTAATTTTAAGGATATTAATTTAATATTTTATTTTTTCAGGTTTGTGGGATAATTTCCCCATATTTAATTTGGCTCATTATTTTGACCAGACCCAAAGGTTGAATTTTAGGTGATATCATTTTTCCAAATATATTTTTTCTTTTTCCTTTTCATTTTCTTGCCACCCAATTCAATTTCCTAAAATTTATTTTCTTGCCACCCAATTCCATTCTTGTAATCAAACGGACCTTTAGAAATGTATCTGAAAAGAAAACCAAGATAAGGAAAAGGAACACGCGACAAGGAGAAAAAATTAACGTGATTGAAAAATCATGTCTTTATTTTTTATTTTCTTTTAAACAATATACAATTCATCTGTATCAATAGAACTTTTCCTCTTCCAAAGTTTTCTGTTTCAGCAGTAAAATTTTTGTTAACCATATTTTCACTATTAAAAGCATATTTATAAAACTCGCCCCCGGACAAACCGAAAAATCGACGATTAGGGCAGGACAAACTTGATAGAAACGTATTTGACTCGATCAAAATTGAGATTTGACAGAGTTAACCAGCAATTTAACCAGCCCGGTTGATCGATTTTGAAATCATTTTGCAAAATTTTTGAGCACAAGGGAATTGAACTTGGACCTCTAAATAAAATAGTGGATTCCTCACCACTATGACATTAAGTATTTTAGTATTATTTATGTGCAATAACTTATATTTATCTAATGAATCATTTATAGATTTTCTAAAAATATATATTTTTTAACTTTAGTCCAACATTTTACTTTATTTTATAGACATAAATAATTAGTGAAAAATAACTTAAAATTTTTAATTTTGACTAAAAAAAATTATACTTTATATTTTTTTGTAGATTTTTATGCAATGACCCACTAGTCCGATCGCTGATTTGCCTGTTTGAGCGGTAACTTGAGATCCAATATTTTGTCCGGATTGGTGTTCGCGTGAAGTAAAAGGCCACTCGTCATCTTCCATCTACTGTAACCACCTCCCCCCAGGCTCCACCTTCCCCTGTATAACATTAAGCCTCTGTTTGACAATCATCGTCTAGGAATAAAAGAATTTTAAATAGTATTTTTTTAGGAGGATGTGTGATTAAAAAGTAATTTATTTTTTAAATTTATGTATGGAATATTTTATGGTATGAACGTGCAATATAAGAAAAAAAAATTTAAAAATAACGGTTGTCAAAGGCTAAAAAAGCACCAAAAGCTACCTTCACAATTCACTTCACACCCGAGAAAAGACCACACCAAAGAGCCTCTAAAGATGCAGACACGCGCTCATTCAGAGTGACATAAAATCGTTTCGCACGCCAAATTATTCAGATTGTTGGGATTGAAATGGAGAAACGAATTGTTGTGATTAACTACGAGATTAAAGCTTGTGGCATAGTGTAGAACTGTGAAAGGGTTCCCATTTTCGCGAAGGAGAAATATTTTTCCTTTCACTTTTTCTTCTCTTTTCTTCACCAAGGAATGGGTTGCAAGAGCACCATAGTAGGGAACTTGGATCCAGCGAGGAAAAGGAGTGGTGGGTTGAGAACTAAACAGGCAGGGCGTGGGTCTTGCAGGGGAAGTTAGGCTATTCGAGGGAAAAGAAAAAGGAAAGGAAGGATAATGGTTTCCCTCTTGGAGGAGTAATTATTTTTTCCTCTCTGTTCTGAATTGTATCTTTCTAAAATCATCTTTATTTATCCACACACACAATATATTCGTATAAACTGCTCCATTTAGTAATTTTTGCAATGGGATATTTGTTGAAAGAGGCTTTGAAGAATCTCTGTGGAGCCAACCAGTGGTCTTACGCTGTTTTCTGGAAGATAGGTTGCCAAAATCCCAAGTGAGTTCAATAAAAAAAAAAACTCAATTTTACTTTTCTCCTGAAAATTAGAAGAAAATAATCATGGCCTTTTGTTTGGAATAATTTTTACGTTGCGTCTGTGGGGTGGGTGTGTGAGTGTGTTGATGAGGAAATTGGAAACCGGAAAAAGGGAAATATATAATCTTGTTGTGTATGCTCTTTTGGGATTGTTTTTTGTCAATTCGCACGTAATCTTTTTCTTTTTTTTTTCTTGGAACTTTGTGCTGACCACTGTTAGTGGAGAGAAAATTAAGGAATAGAAGTATGAAATTCTGATTGTAATTTCTTGATCAGTTCCGGCTAGTCGATGAATTAAAGTGCAAGCAAAGATATTCAAGCTTAGTTCCTATCCATGCGAAATTTTCTAGTCGAGCAAAATAGAGGTTAATACTGTATTATCTCTAACTTATCTGGTTAATTACGGTTAAAATTTCCAAGTTTCGTAGTAATTAAGATGTGATTTGTCGTGCTAAAGATTTATTAGACATCACTGTCTTGTTCTTGCATTGTGATCTAGTGACTTTCATTTTCAAGTTTTGGAGTTTTGTGGGTGGTCCATTTGCTTTGTCCTGAAGAATCTTGGAGGACGGAAAAAGTGAGAATAGATTTCTTTTAGGCTAACAAAACTCTTTCCACTGTTATGATTTTCCTCTATATTAATTCATGCACTTCTGATATGGATAATGCCTTTCTTGTTTTAATCTGTGTGTTCCTACCTTCTTGTCTTCAACAATTTTCTGTCTCTTAGATTTTTTTTTCCTTGAACTATTTCACCATTAGCCAGTAGAACATACACATGTGGAACTTTTGGATTATAACATTCTGTAAGATCTAGCATTTTTGTCGATTATAACTGAATTTTAATTTTGCAGGCTTTTAATCTGGGAAGAATGTTTTTATGATCCTGTATCACAATCCCGTCTTCTTGGCATTTCCAGGATTGAGGATCTGGGAATCGGTTTTGATGGCTATAATGATTGTGTGTTTACAGCTGGGGTTCAAGCAGGGGATAAATTGCATTTCCTTATAAATAAGATGATGATGGACAATCATGTTAATGTTGTAGGAGAAGGGTATGACAATTCAAGCTCGAATCATTTAGACCATGTTCAGCAGGCAGTGTTAGACATGACTAGACAGTGAATGGACAAGATTTCTCTTTCTTTTGCTTTTCTAGTAATGTCTAGTCCTGTCCAATTCTCACTTCCAAACATGTCATTAGTGTTTCACTTGTTCTATTTGAGACTGAGAAGGGTTTGCATTGAACACACCTGTATTTACATTTTCGAATTTGTCTGTCAGATTAGTTGGAAGGGCTGCATTTACGGGAAACCATCAGTGGATTCTCTCTGAAGATTGTACTAGAGAAGCCCATCCACCAGAGGTATAGTACAAGATCCTTTTGTTAGTGCTTTAGGGATAGGATTTTTACTAGTGAAGGTGCATTTTTTATTGATGCTAAGCTGTGTACATCTTCATATGTGCTTCTGTTGGGGACATAATTTAAATAAACTAATTTGTTTACATTGTAGCAACTTGAGCTTTTAGATAATATGGTTCAATATGGTATTGGAGCTAGCAAATGTATTCCAAGTCTCACCACCACCGATTTATGAAAGTTGTGCGTGTGTTAGGCTTTTGATTGAAAAACTGAATCTGACCTGCATTTGAAGGGACATGTATGAATATGTTGAGAAAGCTTTCATTATTTGTTTTTCTTCTAGGTTCTACAAGAGCTTTGCCAACAATTTTCAGCTGGCATGCAGGTATAAAGTTTCATCTTTCTCTGTTGTGTTTGATGTCCTGTATTTTGTTGTTCAACAATCTTTTTGTTTTATATCAGACAGTTGCTGTTATACCTGTTCTTCCTCATGGTGTTGTTCAGCTAGGTTCATTCTTTGCTGTAAGTTTTTCCTTTCCATTATTTTGGAGTCTAAAATAATCTTAAATAAATACGATATGTTTATGATGAAAATCATGATGGTCAAGGTATCTTTTGTTGGAAGTCACTTTCTGTGTTTTAATATATTTCTCAAATTTAGCTATTAAATTTTTGTAGTGAATTCAGGAAAGATATTTTTAATTTTTTCACTTGATTAATGATGTTTAAGTTCAATGTAGTGCACTAGTGCACCATTGTTACGCCACAATTCTGATTTCAGTGGTTGTAGATCAATGTCTTCAATCTGTGATGAGGAAAAGAAATGAGGTATCTGCGTAATGATGTCAATTCAGTAGACCTCCTACACAACACAAGCACAATTTGCTGTTACTGTGCATAGGAAGTCCGTGTTAGGAATCAAGTCATATTTCCTTCCTGTGAGAGCAATAACTTATAGAATGTAATCAGATTACAAGCAAAGCTAATACACAGATTTTTAGTGAAAATCCTTGGTCCACCCTCAATTTCCTAATGGAGAAGAATACAGGGTCTCACGCCTTTCACACTGAAAACTGGCCCCTAAAAACACTTATATATATATAGTAGAAGTACAATGGCAATCTGATATGCCCAATACATCTCAGTAATAAAAATGTTCAGAGTTCAGGGTATAAGCGTACAATATTATTGGGCTTCACAGATTACAGTCATTGTTCTAAAAGGCGCCAAAACGCGCCGCCTAGGCGCGACGCGGGAGCCAAACGCGTCGAATTGGTGAAATGCGGGTAAAAATGCGTTTCTGTTCGAAAATGCGCCGCCTAAGCGCGCATATGCGCGCCTAGGCGGCGCATTTTCGAACATAATTTTTTTTTTTGTAAAAAATCTGTTTTTTTTATATAAAAATATATTTAATTCCTTAAAAATAATTAAAATAATATTAAAAATACGAAACGCATTATGACGCTTATTCTTCGCATTGATGCGCCTAAACTTGTGATTCTTGATTCTCGACCTCGACGCATCGCAACGCATTACGCCTTTTAGAACACTGATTACAGTCTGATACTTGGAACAGTTTTTTTGGTGTTCCAGGATCCATCCCTGGAGTGATTCTAATTTTTTTTCCTTGCTATCTTGGTGCTTTTGCTGGTTCTCAATAAGTAAATGTAGATTTTGTTGCTATTCAGATGGCGGAGAATATGAGATTTGTAAATGACGTGAAGGCCTTAGTTTTTCAGCTTGGACACGATCCTGGTCTCTTGCTATCTGATAATTATGTAGCAAAAGAACTTTCTCCAAAAATAGGGGTACCTGTATTTCTTGGGAATTCTACCTCTGGGGATTTATCTGGCATATCGAATATGACCAACTCTATTCCATTCATTGCTGACAGTTACAACTATGTGGAAAACTCTGCTCAGACTACTGAGTTTGTTGGTGACACATCTCATTCTTTAGCAAGACAAATCCAGGATAATTTGCAGTTTAATGGTGCAACATTTCATGCCTCTAGCTCAAGCCAAAGTCACGTTCAGCTCTATGATGATCTCAAGGAAGCGAAGTTTGCTAGGAGAATGAAATCGAACTCTCCCTTGGCAAATGAATTAGTGACAAAAGCTGAAGTTATCTACTTGAATCCGGAGATGTTGATGAACCAACAGGCTTCTCTGCACATCCCAAGATCTGCTTTGCATCAACTATCTTCCAGCAGTTCATCTACTATTGACAATGGCAGCTCAAGGTGGGTGGAAAAAGGAACATTGTCAAATGCTGGTATTCAGTGCCATTTTGGCAGCCCCAATGTGTCATCTGGTCTGTTGACGTCTGTGCCAAGAACAAATTCAGACCCGATATCTAGTTCTCATGAAGATCCTGTTGATCATTTGACATCCAATCACTTGCTCGTCTATGACTCTGGTAGCAGACATTATTTTACAGGTGACAGAAAAGCAATGCGCGAGTTGAATGTGTGCAATGAAAGAATGGAAAACAATATAGTTCAAGCTCATGCTATCCCCCTGTCCAAACATGATGAGCATAAGAATACGGTTGGGCTTCTACCTGGTGTTGCTCTAGCTGACAGAAAGTATGAACTTCAAGGTTGTAGTCGATCTTTTAGAAATACTGAATATGAAGATGTATGTATCGGACCTCAATCAGGAGATGATTTGTTTGATATTTTGGGAACTGAATTTAAGAACAAACTATTAAACGATCGCTGGAGTAATAGTTTGAATAATGCATCAGACTCGAACATGGGTAATCTGGATAACAATAATTCTCCATCTGTAAAAACTCAGGACGCTGCTTCCGAAATATATTCTCTTTACTGTGGAAACTCAAATGGCAGTGAACATCTCTTAGATGCTGTGGTCTCTGAGGTTCACTCTTCTGCTAAGCAGCGGTCAGATGATAATGTTTCTTGCAGGACAACATTGACAAATAAGAGTAGTTACTGCACCTACGGCCAGGTTCAGGTTCTTGATCAAATTAAGGAAGAGTTATTAGGTGTTCCGGAATGTCTGGCAAAAGCAGAAGCAATGAGTTGTTCATTTCTATCTGAATCTTCTAATGATTATTCGGGAACCTATTCCCAGAGTAGTTCCATTTATGGATCACAAATAAGTTCATCGATTGTAAAGGGTCAGGACATCAAACAGAGTAGCAGTGTGTTGACGGGATACTCTAAGAAGCCTGATGAAATGAGCAAAACAAATCGCAAGAGGCTTAAACCAGGAGAAAATCATAGGCCAAGGCCGAAAGATCGCCAGATGATCCAAGATCGTGTAAAGGAATTAAGGGAAATTGTGCCAAACGGGGCAAAGGTGACATTTCTTGTCTTTGGCTCAAACTATTTCCTTGTCTCTATAGGCAGATAATTCTTATATCCTGTAGTAATGCTATTGGTTTGGTTAACAGTGTAGCATTGATGCTCTTCTCGAACGTACTATCAAGCATATGCTTTTTTTGCAAAATGTCACAGAGCACTCAGACAAGCTAAAACAAACAGGGGAGCCAAAGGTGCGAGATACCGACATGTTCTTCTCAAGTGTTGGATACTACTTTTTGAACTATGTTATGAATTGAGCGAATTGGACTTAGGAGATGATGTTTTTGCTTCTAAGTAATTTTTTTTGCCAAACATGTTTGAGCTTTTTTGGGGAATTTTTAGTTCGAACACTTATTTTCTACAAAAGTACTTTCACATATAGGCTTAGCCAAACATTTTTTTAAGTATGATCTACTTTTAGCAGACGATTTAATGGAAATTTTATTAAAACCATGTTAATATGGAAGTTTAGAATGCAAAAGTTGGCAAGAAGAGTGATACAATGTCTAGTGGACAACTCAATCAGTGTTACATAGGAAAGTTGATAAATAAATATGAGATTGTTCATCTTCTTTTCTTAAGCTTCAGATTATTAGCAAGGATGGTGGTTTGCTCTCGAAAGATAACTTTGAAGGAGGAGCAACGTGGGCATATGAAGTCGGTTCGCAGTCTATGGTATGCCCTATCGTAGTAGAAGATCTAAATCAACCCCGTCAAATGCTTGTGGAGGTAACCACTGGCCTCTCTTACATCTCAAGTCCACGTGATAACTGTTACTGGCCATTGTACACAGTGGCAGATGTTCGCTGTTCTTTTCCTCACTGTTTTCCTTTGTGGCAGATGCTTTGTGAAGAGAGAGGTTTGTTTTTAGAAATTGCTGACATAATTCGAGGGCTGGGGTTAACCATTTTGAAGGGGGTTATGGAAACTCGGAAAGACAAGATCTGGGCACACTTTGTTGTGGAGGTAAATATTTATGAAGAGTATTAACTAACCATTGGGCTTGATCTCCTTCACAATTTATCCAAAGATATATGTGTTGACTTCCATGAAAGTCCTATGATTACCCCAAAACATGATTTTATCCTTCTTTTACAATCGAATGTTGAAGTTTTTCATTGACAAGTCGAAATATTCTCTTTTTCTGGCTTTTCTTTTTCTTTTTCTTTATGGTGGTGGTTTTGGTTCCGAGGGATCAAGGACGAGAGGCTTAGCATTTGGTATTATTCTTTAATACCATTTTCAGGGGGTTAAAAACACTAGCAGGTCAAATGTTAGCAAAATTTCACTTTGATCATTAAACATTTTGTTTCAAGTTACTCACTGAACTTAAAAAAAGAAAAAAAAAAATCTGGTCACTTGAAAATCTAGTTGGCAAATTAGCTAGATTGTCATGTCATCTTTTCCTTTAATCAAACCAACGGACATAAATGAACGGACTAAATTTCAATATAGTTTTAAGTTCAACGACTTACTTAAAACCAATGATGTATGATGAGCAACATGAATTTTGCTTGAAGTTAACGATTCTTGTATCTATTGCTGCAAACTTTATGCCAGCTTAACTTTTTTTAATTTTTTCGAGCAGGCTAACAGGGATGTGACAAGGATGGAGATTTTCGTCTCACTCGTTCACCTCTTAGAGAAAAATGCAAAATGTGGCGTTCAACCAGCCGAAGGCTAATGTAAGGAAATACCATGATGGTTCAGCAGTTTCATCGAGCTACCTGCTCCTGCAACAGGATGATCATGTAGTTTGGAGCAACCAGATTGACACTGAAATTTTGGGCCGAGATATGTTAAGAGCGAGATTCTACTCGCCATGACTGACATATGTTCCATATCAGTCTTGTTATCAGTTAATGGCAACTGTCGACACTTCTTCCTTCACAAGTTGAACGGAGGTTGGGTGATACCTAGGAATATGTTATATTTAGAATCTGATGGATTAGCAAATGTAACAAGTAATCAAATGCCATAGAATTATCATCTTAGTGCATGGCAGAAAGTAGTGTTTCATTATTTTCCCTGGTATCCTGCTAGGTCTAGTAGTGTTTCATTTCAGCACATCTCCAAAAAAATATTTTTCACGCAAAAAAATCTCTCCCGAACAAACACTGATTTATGTTGGTCTGCTTTAACACTTGAAAATGGTGTCTTTTTCTTCACATGTGCGTTATGCTTGGCAAAGTAAGCTAATTGATGAAGCACCTTATTTTTCTACTAAGATATAAATTAAAGTGAGCCAAAATCAAATAAAAGAGCTAAGACATAAGTTACCGGTGTTGGGTGCTGACAGTATGATAGGCTTTAGATAAATGTTACGCGGTGTTTATGTTATATGTTGAGAAAATTAACGCGCATAAATTATATTTTGATAATTAACATTTTACATGCATAAAAAATGATTTATCGAAACCAAACGAGAAATGCATGAATATGAATTCGATCGTGGTAAAAATTTGACTCTTTTTCTTTAAGAAGATAATTTTTCGATTTGTGTGTTTAACATTTTTTGACGTTCGTCTCCAAGACACAATGGCCATGTCTCGTAATAGAAACATTTCAAATTACGTAAACCAGTGAACTTATTTATATTTTGGACTCTCTTTAAAATAAATGCAAAAAAATATTTTAAAGTGAATATGCATTAATGTGATAATGCAAGGATGAAAATGATGAATGAAAATTTCAAATATATGGAGTCGATATATAATTGTTGGAAATTTGTGTCTCAAATGAAAGATGCAACTATTGAAATTAATATCTACGAAAAGAAACACCTATTGAAAATAACAATTTCAAAAGTTATGATATTTCATATGGAATGACACATCTTTTCAGTCGAACATATTCATGAATATTCTTGTAATATTCTACTAAATTTACCAACAATAGTTGCTGAAATTTGGCTTAATTTCTCATTTGTCGACTAACAATTTTCACTTAAATAATTCATTGAAAATTGATATTAACCAAGTTTCTATACAATTTTCGAACATTATATTCTTCATTTTTTATGCCATAGAAGGAATCATTGCTTCTACTTAAAGTGATCATCGTTACAAATTATTATACCAGTGTTTAAATAATATCAAAAAACCTCTATCGTAGTCCAGAGTGAATCAATTTAGACTAGGACCATATATTTTAACATAAGAATAATGTTATTTATCACCTGTCTAAGCAGACAGCATTACTCTTAACAAGACATCCATCTAATTTTTCTTGCACATTGGAAATGATTAAAAAACACTAATCAAATGTAATTATTTTTATTATTTATTCCATCCTAGTAAAATGAAGGAAATCCCTTGAAAAAAAAAAGTGAAATAAACAATCTTCGTTTATTTTAATACAACTAAATAGAATATAAGTTATTTTTAAAATTATATATTGTAGATATATATTCAAAGTGCTTATAAATCCAAAAGATAAGCTTTAATCTAACGACAAAAGATTAATACCAATATTCATGATGGCTTATTTTCTCTACAGTTCACATTTACGTTATACGCTTTTTTTTTTTTTTTGAAATATGCTACACGGACATAGACAAACCCTTTTTTTTTCACCGCAGATTGATTTTATATATTCAAAGTGCTTATAAATCTAAAAGATAAGCTTTAATCTAAAGGTCGTTGGCAGTCACAATAGTAAGATTGTTTATTAATATTTAATTAAATAATATTTAAAAAAATTCAATCAATATATAAATACGATAAAAAGTAAAAGTCATATACATTTGAAAATATAATCCAATACAACCTAAAATGATAAGGAAAAAAATATATGTTTCAATCATATGTATATGATCAAGTTTCCAAGTTTTTTACGAACTTAAACGAAACAATTTATACGTAAAACATGATTAAACAGTAAAGACAAGCTCCAAATTTAGGCGAAGATCATGCAAAATTTTGGAAACAATGATTTTGAAAACTAGAGCTATTTTTTATCCCAAAAGAAAAAGTGTTTTAGAATAAAGAGCGGCACTTAAATTGTCCAAAATTGAATTTTATAAAATAAATTAATAAAATCTAACAATAGAAGTAAATATATATTCTGGAGTAATAATTTGAGTCAATGCGTTTTTTATAGAAATTATTTCGAAAATGAAAATTAATAATATGTAATTGTTTAGTTATTATTTATTGTATTAAGAAATAAACAAGAAATTGAAAGTACGTAGAATTGAAGCCTATACCTCTCATCAGGTATTAAATTATCCCTCTACCGTATGAGCTACACACTTTTTTGTTAAACATAGGTACAATTATTAGTTAATATTTATTATGGTTAAAAATTAAAAGAATAATGTTTTTGATGGGAATCAACCAAGGGATTTCACATTAAAAGGCACACACTCTCCCATACGATCTACCTATAAGTTTTGTACAATAACCTATATATATAAATATTTTACATAAATTTTAATTAATCTTTCTTCTCGACAGATCTCGCACAAACGATTGCGCCGCCTCGCCGGATCCGCCCGCCCACCCCAACCTCCTTTTCACCACCAGTATTGCAGTCCCACCGCCACCGCCACCACCACCTCCATCACTATCACTACTTATCGAGAATTCATTTTCAACGAATAACCCAATCGAGAGTTGTTAAGATTATATTGTCCTTTTATTGTCTAATTCAATCCCTATCAACTAAGTTGACTAAAATTGAGTAAAAAATTCTATTCCAGTCCACCTGTCCTAATTATGCTAACATCATGCACTTAAAACAAAAATACAATACAATGATTTACTGCTAAACAATGATTATTTAGCTAATCTTTTCCTGATAACACGAACAAATCCGTTGAAAATAGTTCCAGCACAAACGGTTGCGCCGCCTCGCCCGATCCGCCCGCCCACCCCAACCTCCTTTTCACCACCAGTATTGCAGTCCCACCGCCACCGCCACCGCCACCGTCACCACCGCCACCACCACCTCTTTTTTATCTCTTTCCAATTCTAGCACCACCTCCATCGCTATCACTACTTATCGAGAATTCATTTTCAACGAATAACCCAATCGAGAGTTGTTAAGATTATATTGTCCTTTTATTGTCTAATTCAATCCCTGTCAACTAAGTTGACTAAAATTGAGTAAAAAATTCTATTCCAGTCCACCTGTCCTAAGTATGCTAACATCATGCACTTAAAACAAAAATACAATACAATGATTTACTGCTAAACAATGATTATTAAGCTAATCTTTTCCTGATTACACGAACAAATCCGTTGAAAATAGACCTTAAAGAATTTAAAGAAATAAATTGCTAAACAAGACGTGTACCTAGTAAACATTTAAATAAATTCCGACATTAATTTCAAATTCAATTGTCGAATAATCTTGCATAGTAAACATTTGTCGACTATAATTAAAAAGCTTCCATCATGTTGTCTTGTACACCCTCGTAGACTTTGACACTAGTTTAAAAGATTGTCCTATTCATTAACATTAGATTTTTTTATGTTTATTTTAATGTTTTCGAAGCATTTTGTCGATTACTATGCCTGAAAGTGTTAATCAAACTTTTTCGATCTCTCTTATTTTCAATTTTCGAAAGTAATTCGTTGATTGCTATGTCTAAAGCCCTAAATTCAATCTGCGACGATCCAATTTTACACACAAGATATTTTTGGCAGAACTCGCCTTAAATTATCTGATCTCGACCTCAGCCTACAAACGTCTGTAGTTTTCTTATTTTTAGGGCTACTGATCTCTACAATCTAACCTGACAAAACTCGATTGTATAGACACTCCGAACCACATTACGGCTTGTCGCTTGTTAAAATATACTTTTCATTTATTTGGCCACTCAAACTTGTGCATCTCAATGGCCTCAATTTCGTGCCATCATTAGTTGTGAAAGCATTAAATTATAGTTCAGATGACAACTCTACGCTAAACATTTCTTTTCTTAACTGTTGTATTTTTTGAAGTCAAGAATTAGGTATCACAATCACTTTCAAGAATACACCATAAAAAAATATGAATATGAACTGCATGAAATCATCAACTTCCACGTAACGTCATTTTACAGGAAACTAATTTCTCAGTTCCCACTTCCCAGCTAAGGAATCTCACTCATAAATATAGAAAAATCTTGGTCTAATTCATTGAATCTTTTTCCGCGTTCGAAAATCAATCTCTCCTTCTTCCACTCTGTCCCAAGGAGGTAGGGAATTTTAAGAGACTAGGATTGCTGGGTTTCTTTCGGGTCAAGAAACTGCACGAGGCTCGACTCGTACGTGGTTTAAAACCATGATGGAGAAATTTGTGTCGAAAATAACTGATGCTGCCGGTGAGGGAAAGAAACTTGGAGTTGAAGATCCAAGAAGAATTATTCACTCATTGAAAGTAGGATTGGCCATAACTTTAGTTTCACTGTTCTATTACTTTGATACTTTGTACCAAGGTTTTGGCGTTTCTGCAATGTGGGCAGTTATCACTGTGGTTGTCGTCTTTGAATTCTCAGTGGGTAAGCTAACTAAGTTACTTATTTCACCCAACAAAACTTATTTTTTTCAGAAGGCAAGTTTAAGTTGCTTTTCAGAAAAGTAACTTAATATAAAGCACATGCCAAACATACTTTCTTGGAAATTCTTTGTGAGTTTAAACTTATAGAATTAATTCATTATTTTGGAGGGGCGACGCTTGGACGAGGCGTAAATAGAGCTATTGCAACATTGTTAGCGGGCTCACTTGGCGTCGGAGCACATCGGTTAGCAAATTTTCTTGGGGAGAAATTAGAGCCTGTATTTCTTGGATTATCTGTTTTCTTAGTAGGTAAAAAAAATCCACTGGAAGCATGTTTGATAAGCAGCACTTGATATGGCTATATTTTAACTTATTTTTTATGCTAAAAGTGGTATCTTATAGTTTTTATGTTTTTAGACCATCATCAAAATTAATTATAGTTTTAAATCCTAATGGTGCAGCTGCTGCAGTAGCATTTATTCGATTTCATCCTAAATTGAAGGCAAGATATGACTATGGACTTCTCATATTTATCTTGACATTCTGTTTAATATCTGTCTCTGGCTACCGGGACGACGAGGTTTTGAAAATGGCACATAAGAGGTTGTCCACAATCCTCATCGGTAGCTCGGCTGCTGTGGTGGTTTGCAGTTTCATATGCCCTGTATGGGCTGGCGAAGATCTTCATAATCTCATTGCGGGCAACATCGAAAATCTGGGAATCTTCCTCGAAGGTAAATTTCCCACTAGGATCTATTTACTACGCAATATTGGACAATACTGTCATTTGTACACGATAATATGGAAGAAAATTTACTCATTTATCCATCACTCATTATCACAACTTATAATGAAATGCAAACACGCACTTAATTTCTTTGTCCTTTCCTTCGAACCTAACCTAAAACTTTTGAACAGGTTTTGGACATGAATATTTCCGAACATCAGATGACAAACTCCTAGATGACAAAGCATCCATTGATGAATATAAAAGTGGTCTTAATTCAAAAGGCACTGAAGAATATTTGGTGAGTTATAAAATTTCTCTTCACACACAAACACGCTTTCAATTTTAACATTGATTTGTTACTTAATTATTTCAATATTATGGGAATTTTTCCTGCAGGCAAATTTTGCAAAATGGGAGCCTAGACATGGTCGCTTCCGATACCGGCACCCTTGGGATCAATACCTAAAGATTGGGGCACTTGTGCGAGAATGTGCTTATCGCATTGATGCTTTGAATGGCTATCTTAACTCGGAAATGAAGGTAAATTTATAGAATCTTTTTCAGTACTCCGTACAGATCATCTGTGCTGCGGCTCTGCGTTTATTTTGCCTGTTTTCTTTGTTAGCATAATGCTAATGACTAGAAAGTAGGACTCAATCCTTGACATATCTCTCGCTGGAGAGAAAATTCACCCGAAAATTTTGTGCTATTGCTGCAGACACCAGCAGAAGTCAGAGCCAGAATTCAAGAATCATGCACAAAGATGAGTTCAGAATCCAGTCTTGCTTTGAAAGAATTAGCATTATCAATGAAGGCAATGAGTTCTTCATCCATTGCTGATCCTCATATTGTCAATGCAAAAACTGCAGCCGAGAAGCTGAAGTTATTGCTGAAATCAGACATGTGGGAGGGGACAGATTTTCTTGAAATAATCCCTGCAGCCTCAGTTTCTTCTTTACTGATAGAAATTGTCTCCAGCACAGTGAAAATTGCTGATTCTGTTCGTGAACTTGCTTCCATGGCAAAGTTCAAAAATGATGTTTTGAAGCAGAATGAAACTGATAAAGGGAAAGTATTGAGAGTCCCAAGTATAGAAAGATCCCATAATATTTCCATTATTGCTGAGTGATTAACAATTTTGAGGATTTGGACGAATGTTCAACTAAGTAGAAATGATCGATGGACTTAAATTTGGATGATTTAGGACAAATTCTATGGTTCAAGCTGTGTCATTAGACTATGCTTCTAAAATTTAAGAACTTGTTTATGTAATTCTCGTAATTTTACTATTTGTTCCGAAAGATATTTACGAAGCTCGATTTGTCATGACATGTTTGGCTCATTAGATTGGTTGAATATATGTTAAGAAGGGCTCTCTGATCTAATGTACACCACTACTAACTGCAAATCGTGCACATTATTTAAATCGAACTCAAGCTCTATAATAGATGAAATTCGAGCCAGACTAAATTTTTTATTGATATAGAACTAAATCTAACCGTCCATTTCTTGATGCAACTTGTTCAACAATGAACTTTTGTTATGGTGAAACCGAATCGAATCGGCCCATCTTTTTCCACAGCCATTAAAGTTAAAGTTGCTTGGAACATGAGAAACGGATCCAAACCTAAATATTCCTTGTAAAAGCAAAAACAATGGGCCATTAGCCTAGACCAGAATCAATTCTTCTTTGTTAACAGAAGCCCAAAAACTAACGGATGAGATTCATTTCATCCATAATTGGGACACAGATTTGCGACCCTTTCGTCCATCCGATCCTCTATAAAGAGAAAGTTCCTCTATTGGTTCCCAATCTACTTCTTGAGTAGCATGTTCCTCCTTTACCTCCAAGAATAGAGCAATTAGTTCTCTACAATTGTTGTCATTACTTGTTGTGAGCTACCACAATGCTGTGATGAATCGAACATAACCTTCTAGTCATTGACTACATTACTAGATGGACTCAGCATTATCATTCTCCTGTAAGAGAAGTGAATTGCCAATCACACTCGACATCTCTTCCAATGATTCAAATTCAGAAGATCTTTGTCAATAAAACATTGCACCCAGCGTCTAAAATTGTAACATCTACCGGCCTAGTGCCCTACTCCTCTCATGTTATATTCACGCTTAGTGTTAGAATTAGGTTCTTGGGAGAAGGATAGATCAAATATATTCAACTTTCGTGTGATTTAAGTGCCCAATTTTATAAAACTAATTTCTAGCCTTCAACTTGGACTTGTATGTAAAATTTTGAGATGAGATGCATTTGCATGAGGGTCACGTGATAGTTTAATGAAAGGTAAATTTCGTTCGTTGAAAACTAATTATATAATTATAATGAAATGTCGAGAACCAACTTACTTCTTTTGAAAGATGGAACCTATTTTCTACTCATCCAATAGGTTGGACCAATGGTGAAAATTTCCCCTCCATAAATATCTACATTATGCGTACCAATTGAATTCTCACACAAAATTTCCTCTGTAAAACATTTTTTTCCTGAATACCATGACAACACTGGGAGGCGTTCGTCCGAGTGGAGGATCACAGAACAGCCTTGAGATCGACGATCTTGCCCGATTTGCCGTCAATGAACACAACGCAAAACAGGTTTCTCTTTCGCTCGCTCTTTCTCTCTCTCTCGTTTTTTATTTTGGCTTTAAAAAATTCCCGGTGAGGGATTTGAAGATTTTGTTTTATTGGCATTTCAGAATTTTTACTTTATTTTTTGTGGGTATTTTATGATTTGTTTTTCTTTGAAGAATATTATATCATGTTTTGAGTAATGTGATTTCGAAGCATATTCTGTGATATTTAAAATTATTTTACTGCAATGGTATTTTGTGAAGAAGAATACGAGATGAAGTTTATGGGAATTAGAAAGATTGCAATTCAGAAATCTTCTGTTTGTTGTATTGTTTTTGTTCACGGTGAAGATCTTTAGGCGCGTCATGTCATCTTCGTGAACCTAAAACTTCACCGGAACATGCAAGATTTGATAGCGTGCCACGCGAATAGGTAGTTAAAGGCTCTATGATTCTTAAATCATTGTGTTTATTGTGGAAGGACATGAATTCTACAAGGTTAATTAGTGGGATTTTAAATTTTAGGCAACTTTTCTGTGGACTACTGGACTGTGTGGAGTGTAACCTTACAATAGATTTGAGTAATCAGGTAACGTTCGAGATCATGCTTCTGCAATAGAAGAGTGGCTATTCCTGAAGTTGTTTGCCTGGCCTATCACATCCCTGGACTTCGAGATGTGCCATAACTAGGTCAGGTGCGAGCTACTGTGCCTGTTTGGCAATTGCCTTCCGATGCTGAGCATCAGGGTACAGAATAGCAAGCTGTGCCCTGGATTCCAAGCTTCCTAGGGTGGCCTTGGGCAGGAGAGTTGTCTCGGCTTGTAAGCGCCAAGGTGTCACTGTACTCGCTATTGCCTTCAGGACAAACTCCGGTGATTGTCAGGTTACATTCGTGTGGATCCCATAGTTAACGTGTCACGTGGGATATGCTGTAGCAATTTTCCAAAAAATTTTCTTTCTTTCTCTTTTTTTTTAAATGCCACATGTGCCTATGTGGGGGGATTGGCAAACCTGTAGGGATTAGATAATTCCAAACCTCAAGAGAAAGGGAGGGTTTTGTAAGAACATTACAGAAATTTGCGAATTTATAAACTTGAAGGTACTACCTTCGTTGCAGAGATGGAAGCAAAACTTAAAATGAAGAATTAATATCAGGTAGGAGACCTTCATCCCTTACATGTAATATAAGTGAGCAGAAATCTTGTCCATTCTTATTATCCCAATCATCCGCCCTTGTAGTTGTACCAGGCTGATTCAGCGACAGGTTCTCCTTATGCACATTTAAACTGTTTAGAAAGTTGGATTCAATTTTTATTACTGATTTGATTTAAATTTTGTTTTTCTGGTGTTTATATTGTTTCAGAATGCCCTTTTGGAATTTAAGAAGGTCGCGAACGTGAAGGAGCAGGTGGTGGCTGGAACAATTTACCATATAACCCTGGAGGCTTCTGATGGTTGCAAGAATAAAGTATATGAAGCCAAAGTGTGGGTGAAGCCATGGTTGAACTTCAAGGAAGTACAAGAGTTTAAGCATGTTGGTGATGCTTAGTTTGCATCGTTTATCAGTAAAATAATGTTGTGGATTGTTAAAATAAACTATACAGTTCTACAACTGTTCTGGCAAGAATGGAAACTGAGACATTGCGACATACGAATTTCCTGGAAACGACTATTTTCAATCTTTTTCCGGATTTTGAATCTTGATTGTAAAACACCATTATTGTATGCATATTATGTTGAACTCGGTAAAAAATTTTTTAATAATGTCAACTTCGCACGCATAAAGTCTAGTTGTTATGTCTTTAGCTCAAAAGATATATGAAGTTTGCAAGGTATTTTTTTCCCCGTATACTTCAAATTTGATGCTTACAAGTCATGAGGTGTTGGGTATTTTGGATTTCCTCCATTTGAAATTTGATTTGGTTCGGATGGCGCAAATTTTGTTTCTTGGATAGCTATTTTAATTAGCTTCAGTGCAGAAAAGCAAAGTTTGTTACTACCATTTTCACATACCAGTTAAGACCTCAAAACAGCTAGTCACCAACGGTAGATCTTCAGCCGAGCCAATAATGAAGAAAACATCTACCGATCTTTCTCATGGAATATGGAAATTTATAACATATTTTAAACTAATTCACAGGCCACGTATAGTCAAAACCTAACTCACAAAATTCTAAGCAGCTGTAACCATTTTAATGAAATTATCATCTTGCACAATGAGGTCAAATGTCTCTCCTGTACAGTTTAGCTCATGTTGCTACATACAAAATTAGGAGGAAACAAGGCCTGGATCCTGCAACCAAAGGTGAAAGCTGGTAATAGATAATGGTATCCTCTCTTTCCAGATAACACGTACGAACAGACCGGCCAAGTTTCTTTGTTAACCAACTTGAGAATGCCAAAACAAAAAATAAGTTGCCGAAAGATTAAACAGTGCAAAAGTTGAGGAAAGGCAGCTCCACCAGCAGCTACTGGGGGATTGCGAAGCAGCTGCAATTTCAACTGATTGAATTTCATATGTCATGGTCAGAATAACAGAAAACAATAGTAAGATAAGACAGAAGATGATAAGAGAAAATTGAAGTCTCTATTGGTCTTGCTCTTGGTTAGCCATATAGAATCATATAGTACAAAATCCTAAATGATCTTACAAGGAAACTCCGCATCTCGTCCCAAACTAATTTTGTTCTACTTTGTTGTCTCCTACTGTCTCTAATCTCCTACCAGCTAGTTAACAACATATATAAACATCTGATGCATAGCAAATTGTTTGAAGAAAAAAATCCCCGACCAGTATGAGGTAGGATTGCTTAGTACTTCACAAAATGGCAGGATCACGTTCTATTATTCTTCATCATCATAATCTTCTTCTTCTTCCTCATCTATCCTCCTATTGATATTGGCAAGTTGAATAGGATCAATCGTCATCCCTTCCACATCATCGAGGGACCAACCAGGAATTTCTTCATGCTTCATTTCAAGAGCTGCATTTGTCCTCGAGTTAGAAGTGCCTCCAGCCAGTACTGGGGTGGAATTCCCATTCTCATTTAAGTCCACATTGAGATCAAAATTTCTGACTGATATATCTGCATTCTTCCCACCCATACCGCTAGAATCTGCAGGACCTGCAAAATTGTCCAGCTTTTCAAGATTTTCATTTTGCTTCTCATCATTCTGGGGAGAAACATCTTGGTAGTCTTCAAATTTCTCATACTGAGTATTCGATTCTCTCTCTAGAGTGTGACTACCTTTGCTCCTACCCCGACCCCGACCTCTACCCCTACCCCTACCCCTACCTCTTCCCCTAACTCTCCCACCAGTGCTGGTGTGGCCAATCTCAGGCTGCAAACAAAGAAAAGGTCCATTAATCATAAGTTTACATCAACTTTTCTACACCTCCTTTATCCTGTGAAGGATTTTTGGAGAAGAATAAAAAGAATACTGTTTCGATAAAAATTACCAACCCTACTATCTTTCTAAAGAAAAACATCAGTATGATGCGTTATTATCTTTTTCTTAAAATAATAACTGCCGATACTATCAAAATCTTAATTCATACTTCTAAGAACATTAAGAATACCATCTCTATCTGGACAATTCTGATAGTAATTGCATTTTATATCAGTTTGTGATGACATTTGTTCGAACTCGGGTTTGAAGTGAAGATTATTGGTTAATCTTGACAATATGCACAGATGATTACAGACTTGTCTTCCGATATTCTTTCTACTTTTCAATGCAAACCTGATGGAAAGTTAGCAAAGGAGGAGAAATAAACGTGTCTACTATGGTAGAAGCAAACCCGAGTTCATGGTTCCTTCTTTCACTCAAGTTACTTAGTTTTTTCAAAAAGTTTTAAGGAAGAGCTAAAGTGATATTCTATTAGATGTCGTAGTTAAATATATATAATGTCATAGAAATTAGCTTTACCACGTGGATTCTTTTAGACTCATCATCGGTGCCGTTGTCTTCATCTTCTGAGACCCTCCTGCATGAAAAAAGTTTGAATGATGCTAATTTCCACATCTAAAATTTTACCAAAAAAATAAAACAAGAATCATACCAAATTTCCATACCTTTTTTTGGTAGCAGATCTATCATCAGCAGAAGCTTCTGAACCGCCTAAATCGGGAACCCTACTTACTGTGTCCTTCAGGAAATCAAACACGTTAAAGCTCTGTACACATTGCTTCCTGGGGATGAAAGGAAGGAAAGAGTAGATGATCACAAGTGTAGCCCTTGGACAAGTCAATGTGTGAATAAATAGGCATATAACATTCAGACCAAATAAACAACAGAAAGTTTCAAAGGAACTTACAAATGCAAAGAATTCACAGTTTTTGCTCCCCGTTTTACGGTAATCTCATAAGTCCTGTCACAAAGATCTTGCAAAAATAGTTCCAAAGCTTTAGCTGCATATGAATAAACACAGGAAGA